CGGCACACAGGTATGTGGCGTGTCAGAGGAGAAATGAGCTGTTCACATTTCTGTCTTTGTGTCAGGTAACGGCCCACAAACCTCACCGCACTTTAGGGACTGTTCTTTACTTATGGAGGGACTGTTGTTTACTTGTCAGGGGAGGAGGGTGGCTGGTTGATTTTTATTTTATTTTTTTATTTTATTTTGATCCCCCCTATGTTAATCACTTATTGATGCTGTTTTTGAAGTATGAATATGTCAATAAGTAAGAGAGGGATGGTTCGCCCAGGGCGTAAAACTAGCCAGGACCGCCTCTGGAGACGTACCGGGTTAAGTGGTGGACCTCCGGGGAAGCCCTCTCCCCTCTCCCCACAGTGAGGGACCGTTCTCCAAGGCCAGGCTGTTGGCTGGGTGGGAATAAGTCCTGCAGAGTTTCAGAGGACCTGGAGAATGTTTTAGGATCCTATTAACATTATATAAGATAATCATATTGCAAAGATAATATATATAAGATAATAACATTAAAGACAAAATTAAATTGCAATACTTTTTCAAAACTTGATGATTTTACCTTTCTGTACATTTTGTATACAAATTCATTAAATAATTTTGCTTGTAAATGTCTATTTGCATCACATTTATTACGGAAAACACATTATTTGATCAGTTTACATTGTGCCCCTGAAGTTCTTTGTGCGCTCCTTACTTTTTCAACTTAGGAGCACATGTGCTCCTTGGGGAAAAAGTCAGCGTCAAGCCCTGACTTATATGCAGTTAATTGCTACACTGCCATAAAAGAGAGCAGGATAAGTTGGACACAGTCCAGTTCAGTAAACAAAAGAGTCATGTTTCATCTGGTTTATTTTCGCCATTACAGATTCACTGAAGCAGTGGTTCACACATTTTTTTTCAATGAAATATATTTTCAGCCAAGTACCTCCTGAGCAGCACAAAACATGTTTGATAGGGGGAAAAAAACCTATATAAGAAGGTAAGATACAGCACTACTCTATCCATGTCCGGTTTACTAAACAACGACCTTGTCACTGAAAAACAATGAAATACTAAATTTCAAATGTTTAGAATGATTTCCAGATTCATAGATTCATCATGCAATAACCTGAAACAGACATTGTTGTTGCACTGTACTGTTTCTTTTTGAGAAGTTTATTATTTCAGAAATTAAGCATGACTGATATGTTTTTAGTTACCATGTAAAATAAATCACACGTACCAATCCCTAAGACTGGCTCAGGACAACCCTTTTTTTAACTGCCTGGATAATGTTTAGGGAATCTTCCATCATAAATATAAATAATGCAACACTGTGCTTCTCTACAGGGGGACGTTACATTTAGAGACATAATAACAAACCTGCTGCTGTGATGTTACCTTATCAGTTTGTGTTACAGGTACAAAATAACTTCCTTCTGTGTACTTATGTAATACCAGAGGTTATGTCAGGGTTTGAATATACGGGAACTGCCCATTGGTCCGACATCCCATTGTTCCGACCACATTAAACCCATTGTTCCGAAGTCCGTTCCGAAATCATTATGATGCCCTGTGGTTAAGGTCTGGTTAGGTTTAGGCACAAAAACCACTTGGTTAGGGTCAGGAAAAGATCATGGTATGGGTTAAAATGAAAAAGACAAACACATAAGCCGTGAGCCTGCTTCGCCTCAAGCCTTTCCCAGCTGACCCAGAGCCGGTCGCGGCGCACCATCAAGGCAGAAATACGCCTGCCGGGAGCCGTTCAGCACCGCGGACCTTCGGACTAATGGGATGTCGGACCAATGGGCTGTCATGGACCCAAATATACTGTATGCTTCCAAGGTTTTATTAACCATAATTTATGAACTACACTTTCCCCAGCAACATGTCACTGTGTGTCTGTGCTAATTTCATTTTCCTCTTTCCACTGAGCGCTGTTTAACACTACATGGAATAGATGTCCTCCAGATGACATTACTTAGAGAAGAAATTCTGCCTTATTATCTGCCAATAGCTCTCACAGCAAATGACTCTGAGTGAGACTGTCAACAGTTCAGAGGATATGTGTGAGATTACCTGCATGACAAATTAGTTTTTGTTCTTGGTTCAAGAACCTCTTTAAAATTCTGACAGTCACGTCATCCAGGAGCCTACCACACGTGTGATGTGATGGTGATTATCATGTGATTAGCCATGTTTCCATCAGCCTGTTTAGATGCGCATCTAGAAGTATTGCATCGGAAAATTATGATGGAAACGCCAAAATTCGAATTAAAATCCCCTGTTTCGCACAAACTAAAATACGCTTGCTTTAACCGGGTTTTGGTTGATTCGAAAAAATGCTGATTCGCAAAACGGGGGATGGAAACAGTTATTTTTGAATTAAGTCTGACGTAGCGCACCTCTCTCCATGGTGATATCCACACTCCGGGTTGGGAAGGCGGTAATGCATTTACAAGCTGGTTGCCAACTGCCAGAAAATGTAGAAGAAGAATGCGAGACTTGTTTTGTTTCCGGTTCTGCGGAAAACTCGTGCAAGTTCGTAGTTTTCACCAAAGTCCATACTTTTAATGAAAACACACAGGATTCGTATTTCTTTTAATGCGCATTTCCCAATGATTCGAATCACTTTTGGATGGAAACATAGCTGTTGCTGACTTATGGTAGTTGTGAAGGTTTACAACAACAGGGCTGAGTAGAATTCAGGAGGACTGGTTCGGTGTCTCATTCATGCTTATGCAGAAGGATATCGATCACAGTTTAGATTTGTAAAGTGGTCTGAATCTAACATGATCTATCATGAAGCTGCAGTACAGGCAATGTCATAGAGAAACAACATGACACAGGTGAGGCAGAAAGCCTCTCCGAAGCTAATGAGGGTGGAGGTGTTGAAGAGGTTTACCCGTCAACTGTGAACCACGTGTTCCCTCGATGCTTTTCATTACACTGTTGCTTGGATTGAAAGCTTTGATTCATCATTTAGACTGTTCTCATACACTGTTTGCACTGTATCTTATGAGAATGAATGCACCAAATATTTTCATGTAATGTCCCATGTAATGATGACCTAGTAATTTATGCATAACCTACGTATGTAATTTGGAAGGCTGCAATTACGTGGCCGATGCCTTGACGGGTTAAAGACTTTAAAGCCTATGAGAATTTTCTCCCTGAAATGAATGACAGCCTTGGGATCCTATTCACTGGACTGAAAGCAAGGCAGACTTGACCATTAAATAGTTGTTTGACCAGTTAAACATGAAGAGGGGGAACAACACCAGCGGGATACTCTCAATACATACAATATCACCAGTTTTTGTTCTGGTTTCACGCTCACTGAAATGGAAGAAAATCTATTAGAAAGAGGACTTAACCCTCATCCTGATGCCGAAGCTACCAGACTTATTACAACTGAAATATGATCTTTATCCTTACCATAGGAAACTGATTATTTTCAAGGTAAACATAACTACAATCAGGAGCCATTTACCTATCCTTCCCACTGGGAATCTCCGCTAGATTCAATGACAAATGAAATTTTGGAATTAATCAGGGAAGACAGTGCCACTCTATCCACCTTTATACCTACATGGATAACTAAATATAACATACCCAGGGCACAAAGGCAGCCTTTATTAAACCTAAGTACAAATAAAAACAGAATCATCAAACCAGTGAATAAGAGAGGACAGATAGTACTACAGGACAGAACTATCTATTTCAAGCTGAGAGCCAACTCAGTAATTCAATCTATTATATGCCCTCACCCAAGCGACTTCAAACTGAAACACAAATAATCATTAGAAATATCATTACTAAACTCTATCTTTTTTGCCCTCAAATTCCACATTCCGCATTGTTCTAGGCTACTCATTACCAAAAATTCACAAACACCTAAATACATGGACAGTTCTACATAAAATACCAGAAGGAAGACCTACTGTAAGTGATTGTGGTTTGAAGACCCACTGTTGCAGAATTACAACAATTTTGGTTATCCCCCAAAAACCTCTAATTTTTTTTTTTTTTTTGGTTCAACCATATTAACATGATCATTAGGTCCTATTGTTTGTTCTCACAATGCGATTGGATCCAACATTTGTATATAAGGCCCGCCCTCAGGTCAAGAAGTCACACAACCTCCAATATTTTGATCGAGCAACATCCCTTCGATTTACTGGACTGAATTCATCTGATTCAAGTAAGTAAAATGCTTTGAATATTTTTTTTGTGTTTATTACAGTGTCTAGAACGTGAACATATGTAGTTATTGTGGAAAATATGCCCTACATTTTATTTAGAGCTTGTTTTATAATTGTAGCAATATTACAACGTTGGGTGAGAGTGGTAGTCAAAACAGCCCTGTTTTTGAGAGGAACGTCTTGAGAGGAACTTCAATTAAAATTTTCACAATATAACTTTAAACTACACATGATTTACACATTCTAGCCTTTAGCCTTATATTGGATTACATATTCACATATTTTATTGTATTAGAAACTAAAGTGCAAAGATATATTGCCGTATCTAAACATTTTCATTTACTTAGAATGATTTCTAACCACCTTCAACACTCAGTATTTTCTCCTTATCACAGAATGCAGGACTTTCTAACAAAGAAATTCTGTTTGTGCATGTCTGCCCTTTGTCTTAGTCTCTATTGATAAGAAAATGTTCCTATCAATTCATAGTCAAAGCAGTTGTGGGGGATGCTCCTGGTGCATTTGTGGCATTGTTCTGGAACAGGTGTTAATGTTCATGACTGTAAGGTGTGGTTGTAAACTGGAGGCTACATGCATTCCTATTTGGATGATAATCACAGTCTACAATAGGTCAGCCATACAGTATTGTGACCAGTGAAATGTGTGAATAGGCTACTTCAGTGCAATGTGTAAACACTTCATAATGAAATCATTCTCCCCACCACCCCATCTTTCCTGCTGGTCATCTAGAATCTAGTAAGCATGTGTGCTATTTGTATATACAGTGTACATTTGTTTCAATTTTATTTTTTCCATTTCAGAATGCCACCAGCAAGGAGAGATCCTCGGTACAGTGCGCAGGATGTAACTGCCATCGTCCAAAACGGAGAGAGTGATGTGGACATGGATTTCGACGACACTGATGCAAGTGACGAAGAATCAGATAGCGATGCCTGTGTGGACAAAGAAAACCAAGAACCTACTGACTGCCCAGCCAATGTGGACATTGAGCCCCAATCAAGCAAACACATCATGCCCTGTGACAGATATCGCTGGCAAAAAAAAGATTTTATCAGTCCCAATACTGATTTTTCTGGTCCAGCTCTCACAGATGATGTCACCTCCCTCCACACACCACTGCAATACTTCCAAAAGTTTGTGTCAGAAGACATGGTTCAAGCTCTGGCAACAAATACGAATGAGTACAGCATTCAAAATCACGGAAGATCGGTTAACACTAATGCAAAAGAAATACAGACAGCGTTGGGCATGTACCTGAGGATGGGCCTGGTACAAATGCCTGGAACCCGTATGTACTGGGAGACGGACACACGGCACCCACCTGTTGCTGATGTGATGTCACGCAACAGATTCCAATCGCTGTTGACAACATTACATTTTGCAAACAATTTGACAGTGTCAGAGACTGAAAAGAGGGACAAACTCTGGAAACTCAAACCATGGCTTGATTCACTCAGAGAGAACTGCCTGCAGGTGGTACCAGAAGAGCACAATTCTGTGGATGAGATGATGATACCTTTCAAGGGGAAGTTCAGCTGCATCAAGCAGTATATGCGCGGCAAGCCACACCCATGGGGGTTTAAAGTATGGGTGAGAGCTGGAATCCCTGGCATGATGCTTGACTTTGATGTTTACCAAGGGAGCAATAATGGAGTACGAGTCAAATCTGAACTTGGATTGTCAGGTGATGAAGATGAGAAGAGCTTGAAGAAGAAGGGCAGAGGAAGCTTTGACCACAGAGTGGAGGGGAAACACAACATCTGTGCTGTCAAATGGTATGACAACAGGGCCGTCACACTTGTGTCATCCTTCGCTGGACCAGAACCTGTGCAGGAGATTCAACGCTGGGACAAAGCCACCAAAACCTACATTGACGTCAGAAGGCCTTACATTGTGGGTACCTACAACAAATTCATGGGAGGTGTGGATTTGTTGGACTCATTTACAGCGAAATACAAGTATGCCCTGAAATCCCGGCGGTGGTACATGTACATCTTCTGGCACACCATCACCCTCGCTGTGGTCAACGCCTGGCTCCTCTACAGGCGGCACTGCCAAGCTCTCAAGATGCCAAAGAAGGAGATACTGAACATGAGAAAGTTCCAGGCACAGCTAGCATCCTCTCTCATTCTGGTGGACACAACACTGAAAACTCCAAAGAGAGGACGACCATCTTCAGGCAACGGGAGCCCAGACGCAGCAGGGAGCCCTTTGAATGCTGGAAAGAGAGCATCCTTAGGTGATGGGAGTCCAAACGGTCCCTCTTCCAAAAAATCATGTGCACACCCCCCTCTGGATGTGCGCAGGGACCTCACTGGACATTTTCCACTGAAGACAAAGAGAGGACGCTGCAGACATTGCAGTAAAGGGTATACTAATAATCAATGCAGCAAGTGTGATGTCCGCCTCTGTTTTTCAGAGGACAAGAACTGCTTCTGGGACTATCACTGTAAATAAATGTGGATGTGCACACGGACTTCACTGGACATTTTCCACTGAAGATGAAGAGAGGACGCTGCAGACATTGCAGTAAAGGGTATACACACAAAAAAATGCTGGGTTATTTCTGTAAACACATTGTTGGGTTGTCCATGCTGGGTCATAATTCTGGGTTATTTGGGGTACTGTAAACACGTTGTTGGGTTGTTTCATGCTGGGTCAGAGGGGTTGGAAGGGGTTCATTCATAGCTAAACAGTTGGTTGGGTTATTGTGACCCAACCAGTGGGTTATTAATTTTCCCGCTCTTCTATTGTTCAACTTTCTGGAATTTTCCATGAGACATCACAGGACATCAAGCAGACAGACACACACAGATTTTCTGGTAAGTTAATATTAATACATTTATCTATATTTTCAATAGTTGGTGGTAATAGAGTGAGCTTATTATTATTTCACAATCCTGGATCTTAGGGGGGTTAATTTTTTTTATTCTGAGACATTTATTAATAAAGTTGAGCAAGTTTAGAATTTTTCCCTAGATGCTAACGTTAGCTGACTTTAGCTAATCTTTAACAATGCTATAACGTTAGCCGTTTTGAATTTTGCAATTTAATGTGTTGTAGTCTCCAGGCTTTATTGGTCATCTGGCTTTACTACCCACTGAACATTTATATCTTTACATTTATAGGCAGCATTAGCTGGTTATCTATCATTAAGTTAGCCGTAAGGTTAGCTAACATTAACTAGCTATCCTAGGAATCTCTGGTGTAACATTAGGTTAACGTTAAATTAAGGGGACTTGGCGTTATACATGCCGACCATGTTTTATTACTATTACTTACCTTGATGCGGTGTTTTAACCGGAGAAAAACCTGAGCAAACTCACAGCTCCTGCCAGAGTTTACGCCTGCCGAATAGCATTGGCGTAATGGTGATTTTTCATTTGAAACGGCTATATTTAGTGCTATCTATTTTAATCACTGGGTCTGTATATTTTGGAGAGGAGTAGACCTCTGCGGATAATTCGGCTCACGGAACAAAACGCTCGAGCTTGTAGATCAAAGGTTATCAGGTGGGCTACGGGTCAGCGGCAGCTTGGCTCACAGCATCTGCTTACATAAGTCCTGTGTAAACCGAACAGCTTCAGATAAACACAGATTTTTAACGTGAAACTGCTAAATCCATTCTCACTGAGGATTATTCTCGCGGAAAAATATAAAAGTTGATTTCATGGATTCTTATGGAAGTTTGCACACCGGGGCGGAACTTTCGTGCGGTGAAAAAAGTTTCCGCCCAGACTTTGACGCCCCGCGGAATTCCAGTCAGGCAGGACAGCATGGGAGAAAGGTTGATAAACCTCATTTCACAGCACCCCGTCCTTTTTGATAAAAGACGGGATGATTTTATGCACAGTGAATTAAAGGACAACGTCTGGCAGTCCATAGTCTAGTTTGGTGGCAGCGATGAGAGTGGTAAGTGCTAAAGAAAGTTGATGTTGACGCTTGTTAAAAGTTAGCTTGCTAGCTCGCTGCTGCTGCTGCTGCTACTCTCGTCCATGTTCAGCCACACCAGTTCACGCAGCACGGACTTGGAACACAACAACAACGCGAAATCCCGCACCACATCCGTACCACGCCTGTGTGTATGGTTTGAGCGAGGAAAAGCACTGCGGGAATATTCCGCAAATCCGTCCCGCATTTCTGCATTATTTGGAGAGGAGTAACGTTAGATCTCTGCCGATAATTCGGCTCATGGAACAAAACACCTGAGCTTGTAGATCAAAGGTTATCAGATAAACTAGCTGGGCTATAGAGCCACTGATGCTTTCCAGATATCGTGATTTCCCAAAACTGAATAAATACCACACTTAGCAACACAAAACTGCTTTGCTTGCTCAATCATGTTGTAACTAAGGTCCTGGTATTGTACATAGAGGGATATTTTGCCCCAAAATAATAAAAAAAGAGAGAATATAATTAAGTGTGCATAATAGGTAATGTGTGTATGACTGAGATGTCAACGCGCATGTAATTGTATCAGTACCTGGAATCAATTTTTGGCAGGTGAAATACTCTGATTTATGCATTGTAATGGCCCTTTAACTCACTTTCAAGTGGTAAAAAGCACTGGTTGAAGTCAAATCTTGTAAATATAACTCTGCTGAGTGATATTAAGTCATTTTGAGGCAGAATACCCCTCTCTGTGCAATACCAGGGGCTGGACTCAATTTTTGGGAAAAAGTGAGGGGAAAAAAATGGAAAAAATTAAAAAAGTGTAGATAGCCATTGCTGCAATCAGGTGGTGCAAACATGATCAAATGTAATTTTATGAGCTGGAAGAATCAAATGAAACATTGATCATAGGCATCTTTTATACAAATACATGGAGAGGTTATAAGAAGCCCGTAACATGTCAATGTGATCTGTGAAGTGTGGCATAGATCCATTGATGTTACTTAAATTCATTTACTCAATCTGAAATTTCATTCCAGGGATGCAACTGAGTGATGGACAGTTTTGTGAGAGAGAAGTTAACTGAATGGCAGCTTGACAGCCTGGCAGACACCTTTGAAGGTAAGTTCACATTTATTAAGACATGAAGTTGAGATGTTAGTGTTAAGAAACAGAAAGAGATCATTTCCTTGATATTTGACATAATGTTTAATTGCAAAACTAAAATGAAAATCTGCTCCGGGCTGGGCACTGTCCGGTGCTGAAGGCTTTCAGCAGCTTTGAGCAGTACCACCTGAGACAACTGTGTTAATAATGCTTCTGATCAAATGGTTATCACAATGTCAAAAATGAATAGGCTGAGGGTTGTTGTTCCCATTCATTGCTAAAAATTTCATTCACATTTTTTTGTTTTATGGCATCAACAATTTCTTTCTTTGTATAAGCAAGGAAGAAAGGATTTCACAACAACTTCACATCTGTTTCAGTTCCTGGTTGTGTTTCAGATTACACAAATATGACAAATTAAATATTAAATATGAAAATATGTATTGTGTGATCTTGTTTCAACAAGGCCAATAGCTAACAGCTGTTTTTACGTTTTAGTGGATAACTTAACACTACCCTTCTTTCCCCCCACTCAGAGCTGTCGTGTCATTTTCTCCATTGCCTTTTTGAATTTCAGACCAGGAAGTGGATAAGGAGAGTTTCCTTCTTTTAGATGACTGTGCCATAGCCTGCCTCATTTCCAAAGTGGGACTGCGTGTCAAATTCCAGAAACACCATAAGGAGCTTGTGAGTACAGTTCAGTAGTAGATTTAACCTGAATTAGGTAAGCTTCTGTTTCTCCACCATACACTTCTGTGTTTCTGACCTTGCCTTTGATGTACTATTAATGCCACTGACTATGTGACTGATGGCGGGGTAAATTAGGGTGTTTTCACGTTAGGAACACTTTAACCGAACCGTGCCCAGGAACACTTGCCCCCCCTTTCCAGACGCCCGCTGGTCAGCTTTCATACTAGTATTTTTGAAGCGTTCCCTGGCATGCTTGTGTTGGTGGCATTATATACTGTCATATACGGTAATCACATGCGCCTGCGCATATGCGGTGTTACTTATGGTAATGCTCCAGTAACTGCAGAGAGTGCTGCACAAAGTTAGTGAGAGTTAGCAGACGTGCTATGTTGTTGTAGCCTACTGCTCAAGTGTTTCATTAAAGCTTGTAAAAAAAAACCCATCATTTCGCTGTCGGACCCGGACCACGTCGCTCCCTTTCCTGCTGTTATGTGGCTGCTTTGAACACAACGGTTGATTAGTTAGGATGTCGCATGACATTGTAAACACTCAGAGGTTCACTTTGAGAGGAGGTTTGTGTTCACACTAGAAGCGAACCGAAGTGTACCGTGCCCTAGACCACCTTTCCCAAGTGGACCAGGGAACGGTTTGCTTACCGCACGGCACGCTTTTGTTCACATTTATCAAGCGAACCGGACTTTGACGTCAAGCGTGCCAGGGCACGCTTCAGAGTCCTAAGTGTGAAAGCCCCCATAGTCTCTCACCACGGTTGAAGTATTATTTAAACTGTCATGCTACACATGTAGTTTAATAATGGCATATACGTGCTTCCGCTGCAAACAAAAAATAGCCGGTGATGCAAAGGGTCTGTTTGTTCACTTGAGAGCAGTGCATGGTATAAACAATGCTTCAACATTCTTTCAGTGCTGCGAAGGTGGTTGCAGGCGGACTTTTAGCTATATTCGTTCTTTCAGGAGACATCTGCTTCAGCATTCAGTCCCAGAACAGCATTTTGAAACTGAGCAGCATTCCAGGAGGGGCACAGAAGTATCCATGCAGGGCCGGGAAGTGCAGAATGCAGATGTTTCAGATCCTTCAGAGGCTCTGCCTCAAGACAATGAAGACAATGATTTCTGGGATGACTTGGAACCAGAAACCATAACTGAGCGAATAGCTCTGTTTTTGGCAAGCTTAAAGTCCAAATCTGCACAGACCTACAGTACAGTCAGCTTTGTTGTCCAGCAGACATCAAGCTTGATTTCAGACATTGTTGGTTCACTTCAGAGGAAGACTTTGTCTCTGTTTGGAAAATTAGGTCATAAGGACAATCCAGGGGTCCAGGAACTTCAACATCACTTTGAAGAAGCAGCACATCCATTCAAGGGATTAGAATCTGACTTTAAACAGATGCAATATTTTGCAAAGTCAGGCAACTTCATTCACCCCGTAGAGGAGCCTTTGCCTGGAGTGTCCTATGTGCAGAGAAGCAACACTACTGGGTCAGTTAAACAGGTTGCAGTTCAAGATGTGTTTTATCGTGTCCCACTGAGACCTGTCTTGACTAAACTGCTTGAGATCCCTGGCATTTTGGATGCCATCTTTTCATGGCAACAGAGAGAAAATGGAGGCCTCTTAGACTTCAATGATGGTGAGTATTGCAAACAGCACCCTCTCTTCTCCAGGAAACCATCTGTTCCTCTTCTTTTGTACAATGATGACTGTGAAACTGTCAACCCACTTGGCTCAAAGGTTGGGGTGCACAAGTTGGG